ACAGCCTGCCTGTGCCAGCGTGCCTGGCACCTGCTCTGTGTCTAACCAACCCAGAAAAACAACCTGGTTAACACTGATAAAGACTGACTCAGGGCAGCCCCGAAGATGCCAAGCCAGGTGACTGTTTAAAATCAGGGAGTAACACCCTCACTGGTTTGACTCAGTGGAAAGAGAACCTGTGGATTGAAGAGACCCGGGTTTGATTCTGGTCAGGGCCACATGCCTGGGTTGCGTGCTGGATCCCCAGTGGGGGCAGTGTACTGGAGGCAGCTGATCGATGATTCTCTCTCATCATTGATGTTTCTCTCTCTCTCTCTCTCCCTCTCTGAAATTAATAAAAATACATTTTTAAAAATAATAAAATGAAAAGGAAAGTAACATTTCCAATCAACCCAGAGTCACTTAATTATTCACTAAGTACAATCAACGTCACCTCTTAAAAAAACTCTTCTAATGATCTTCGCAAATGCAGGCTTTTCCAGAAAGAAATGAACTTCTGAATCACCACCCAATCATAGGCCCTTGTGCTTGGGTAGCATGTGAAATAAGGAAAAGGAACCTCATTGGCCCCCATTTTATAGAAGAGGAAACTGAGGCTCAGGGAAGTCAAATGGCTTTGTCTGGGGCTACCCAGTAAGACAGGGGCGGGGAATGTCCCGCCCGAGGTCCCTATAAGGCCCTTACAGCCCAAGAAATAATTTGGTCTGGCCCTGCCCATGGCCCAAGGCATTAGGGGTGACTCAATTAAGTGTTCACTCAAATACAGCAGGTTAATTTTTAAGTAGATAATTTTGTATGGCCCGAGAACGATGTTGTAAATATCCAAATGGCCCTTGGCAGAAAAGTGTCCCCACCCCTGCAGTAAGGCCAGCCAGGGATCCTCACTCTACACAGCACCCGTGAGTACTCCTGTGATATCGGCTGCTGCTGAGTCCATAAAAACAGGCCTGGCAGGCGGGGTCAAGGGAACCTGGGAGTCTGGGGTCCAGGCCTCCCCTGCCCTGCACGGTGGCCTCAGGCTGGGAATGCTGCCAGCAGCCGGGGAGAGTGATGAAAGCAGCTTTCACAAAGCAGGGTCTGAGGCCCTCAGACAGGCCCCCTTTGTCATGTCCTCTGCCCCGCCACCACCCCCGTGCTTATTGCCTTTAGCATCATCCTCTTTGAATGGCTGGCTCCAACACACTGGAAATTTGCAACACAAATGCTCAGCTTGTCTCTCCATGGAGCCCCCCTGCCTAGCCTTTTGGAGCCTTTTAAAGCCTGCCTTTCTCTGGAGCACTTTCTTTCCACAGCTCATGCCCCCAGCCCCTAGAAGCAGGCACAATTGCTAATTAACGCTGGGTTAAACCTGCAGGCAAAGCTTGTCACCCAAGATGGCTCCCAGCCCTCCTTCCCACTGGCTTCCCAGCGCTGGCCATGATGACTAGAGTAACACCTGCCATTTGCCAGAGGTAGCAGACACTTTAAATGTATATTTCTTTTTTTTTTTTTTTAATATGTTTTTATTGATTTCAGAGATAGGAGATGAAAGATAGAAACATCAACGATGAAAGAGAATTATTGATCGGTTGCCTCCTGCACACCCCCTTCTGGTGATTGAGCCTGCAAACCGAGCATGCGCCCTGACCGGGAATTGAACCATGACCTTCTGGTTCATGGGTCCACGTTCAACCACTGAGATACACTGGCCAGGCTGCATGCATATTTCTGATCCTCACGATAACATGGGGAGACAGGTATTATCACCCCCAAGTACAGATGTGGTAACAGGGGCTCAGAGAGATGAAACCCCTTGCCATAATCTAAAAGCTTGCAAATGACAGCTGAGTTTCAAATCCAAATCCATTTGCCACCCAAACTCCTGCTTCCTGTTTTAGGCTTTTCTCTGCTCCTGTCTAATGCTCTCCCAGCCTCACTGTGTCTTCGCTCTTCTCTCCATTCCCATGTCCCTCTCTGGGTCTACCTGCCCGAGGTAATTCCTCAGCTCCTCACATGCCCGCCTCTGGAAGCTCTCTGAAACCAAGTGCTCGCCTCTTTCCTCTTAGCACACGAGAAAATGCCACTCAGGGGGAAAAAAGCCTACCCACCCTCCTTACAGAAGACATGAGACCCGGCCTCTGGAGATGGACTGTGTGTGAGCCTAAGTAGGCACTGTATAGGTGTTTGTGGGAAGAGGAAATAAATGCTTATTTAAAAACTGGTGGGATGGCTCGCTCTTTAGCACTCTTTGTGGGGCAGGTAAATGGCACTGCCCCTTTGGAAAATGGTTTGGCCATCTCTTAAAAGGTTAAATCTTCACTGACCCAGCAATTCCACTCCTACGTACCAACCCAAAAGCAAAGAAAGCATATGTCCACACAAAGGACATACATGTTCATAGCAGCATTATTCACAATAGCTTCAAACTAGAATCAACCTCAGTGTCCAGCAGAGCGAATGGGTACAAAACTGTGGTTCGTCCATACAATGGAATACTGCTCAGCCACCAAAAGGAACTGACTGCTCACACTGGAGTCGACACGGATGGATCTCAGAAACATTAGGCTGAGTGCAAGAAGCCTAACACCAAAATGGAGATGCTGTGTCATTCCATTTCTGTGAACTCTCTAGCAAAGCAGAGACAAAAAAAAAAAAAAAGCAGATCCATGGTGGCCTGAGACTGGAGACAAAAGTGAGAATTGACGTCAGATTGGCTGGAGGGAACGTTTGGGGAAGGTGTCCTAAAACAGGTGATGGTGGCACAGCTGTGTAAACTTATGAGAACTCAGCGAACCACAGCTCCCAACAGTGGCATAGTATGTGAATTATTCTTCAACAAAACTGTTCAAGTTCTTAAAAAAAAAAGTAGAAGAAGAATGGGAAGACCAAGGAAGGACCTTAGGAAATCATCGGGTTGGTGTGGGGCACTGAATTGTTTGAGTCCTAACTCTACCACTGCCCAGCTGTGTGACTATGGGTACGTGGGTAACCTCTCTGTACTTCTGTTTTCTCGTTTATAACAACAATTATAGCAGTGATAAGAGCCAGTTTATGAAACTGACTCTGTGCCAGGCTTGTACTGACTGAACTGTTACATTTCATCTGCACTCAACAGCCCATTTCACAGAGGAGAAAACTAAGATCAAGCATGAAGTCCTCAGTGTGATATCTGCCACATGGGATTCAGATTCCCATGGCAGCTCCTGTGTCCTGCACCTGCACTCTGGCCTGGTGTCCATTCTGGCTCCATGTGGTCCCCACCTTGCATTTGCTGAGGTAACGCCATACTTCCCAGCTACATCACAGAGCCCGCTGGCCTGGGGCCTCCCGACTATTCCATCTGCCACCTGCTGCTGTGACCCGCCAGCCCACTCTCAATCCCTGGAGATCTGGCCTGACCCTTCGTGTCCAGGCCGGCAGGGTGACACGCCACCCAGTCCCTGATTCTGTGGGGGAACAACCCATATTTTCTCTGCTCCAAAAAACATGGCTCAGTGCAGGCTAACAAGCAGGACCGTCAAATGTCATTGCTCGGAGGTTCCTTCAGAAACCGCTGGTTCTAACTGAGTCACAGGGAGTCTCCACTCTTCCCTCTTCAACCAGAGCAGCCCAGTTAACTTTTAAAATCTGATTTCTATATTGCGCCTCCAGAGAAGATTTCCAAAGAAAGGGATGTGTGTGTTTTTGTTTTTGTTTTTAAAGTTTGGGAGTCGCTGTTGGCTGCCACCTCTGGACTTTCCGCGTATAGAAACTGAGGCCTGGAGGGGAGAAATAACTTGCTCACGTCACAGAGGTCGTGATTGACAGATCCAGGTGGGTCAGCAGGTCTCTGTATTGGAAGCTTAGAGCCCTCCGCACCAGCCAAAAGGGAAAACAGTGTCTCTGCCTCACACACTTTTATGCCTTTTTTTTTTTTTTTTTTTTAGGATCCTTTGGCTATAGGCTAGAGAAATCTGGAAGCACAACAACTCTCGCAGGATTTTCGTTCCCTTTCCTCTCACTTCACGCAGCTCTGAGGCAACTACCGATTTGGCTGCCTTGACACATGTTGACGGATGCTCGCTGGGCAAGCTGCCTCCACCAGCCTGGGACCACAGCACGTGTAAGTCAAATAGAGGGAAATCTTGATAATTGGACGACAAGGGAGATGGCGAACAACTTTCCTACTAAGGAGAGAAAAACACTTATCCGTAACGTTGACTCCCCTAAAGTCAAATAAAGCTGCACACGGACAGAACAGAAGTATACGAACTTTTTAAAAGGCACGCTGATCTCAGCAGGTAAACGAGCCCTTGGTGTTTTCACCGTACGGAGTACTCCAGTTATTGGAGTAGCAGTCCCAGACTCCCTGTTCTTCCCGGAATCACATTATAACTTCGTCCTCTTGTCCACTCGCTCAGAGAACAAGGGAGACTCCACTCTGAGCCTCGAGGCTTATGATTAATTAAAAAGCAGGCAAAGATGTATTGAAATCTCTGGCCAGGACAGACGCGAGAGCACCACACGCAGGTGGTCTCCACACAACCACCGTTTCAGGGGTAGGAAGTCCCTTTTAAAGGTTCAAACCACGGGAATTTTTCTTTGTCCTAAATTCTAAATCTTAAAGATTACATTCCAAAGACTGGGGTCAGCCCGCAGAGTCGTTGCTAGTCACATCTTGCTGGACATTGGAATGTGGCCCTATCTTGCAATAGCTTATAATATAGAAGCAGAGCTCAGAGGTTATCTACAGTTTCTATCTCCGACGGTTACTGAGTCAGTGGGAATTACTCTCCTGTGCTGCTGGTCCCAGGGAAGGGAAAACTGCCTTAGCCTCCAAGTCTCCACCTGAAAGCTAAGGTAAATAGCTTTCCCCCCAGCCCGTGCTTAATCAGGTGCAAGAGCCAAACTAGAAGGGTTAAAATTCAAACTGCAGTTTTTTACCAAAGTATGGTTGCCACTATATTTCAGTCAGTGTGTTGCTAAAAACGGTCCTTTGGTTGACCTGTGAGTAATTGATTCTCTGACGCGGAAGACACTTAGGAAAATGAAGGTATAAATGGTGGCAGTGCTGCGCCGCCACCGAAGCAAACGCCGAGCTGAACCGGAGCAGCGCCGCAGCTCAGGGGGACCGGCCACGTCGCAGGTGAGAGGGGCTTGTTCCCAGGGGCTGGGCTGCAGGGCAGCGTGAGCGTTGACCTTCTCATCAGCTCAGACACACCAAGCCAGAGAGGCCTACCTCCGTGCTCTTTGCCGTGGTCGGGTGAGTACCCGGAGAGCCCTCGTTAGGGGATCGGGAACGTGCATTTGGCGGTTGGCACCAGACTGAGGCTGCCCGGGATGTGTGGCCCCTCCGCCCGCGGAGAAGGGGCGGCAGACAGACGGACTCCTGCAGGTGCCTGTGGGGGCGGCGAGGCCTCCCGCTCCGGTCAGTGGGCGCAGGCAGGCTTCTGGGGCGGGACGTGGGCTGGCTGCGTGCTCCTGTCAACCGGATTCCGTGTGGGCCGGGAAGATCAATACCGCGCATCGATCGCTCGGAACCGATTCCACATAATTGCCTGGAAATTGATAACATTTCGCTTTCTTGCTCAATTGCAGCCGCAATCATTCCTCTGGGTTTTTTAGACACAATTACCTGCCCTTGGCGCGCTCCATTACCCTCCTGCTTATTTCCCGATCTTCGCTTTAATGGTCTCGAAATATTCGTGTCTTTCATCATAAGCCACCTCAAACGCTTTCTGAAAGGAAGTGGGGGTGTCACTCTCTTGGGTGACGACAATTCTAGACAATTCCTCATGAAAAACTTGGATTTTTTCCTAAGACTTGGGAACACTACTGGTGAAACAGTTTATAAACTGGACCAGGGTCCTTATAATACAAAGAATATTAAGGAAGGTAAAAGGCCCTCATTGGTTTGGCTCGGTGAATAGAGCATTGGCCTATAGGCTGGAGGGTCCTGAGTTTGATTCCGGTCAAGGGCACATGTATGGATGTGGGTTCAATCCCCAGTGGGGGAGAGGGGAAGGAGGAGGAAGGGTGTGTGGGAGGCAGCCCATCAGTGGTTCTCTCTCATCCTTGGTGTTTCTGTCTCTCTCTCTCCCTCTCCATTCCACTCTGAAATCAATAAAAATATATTTTAAAGAAGAAAAAGAAAAAGAAAGGTAAAATATTTTCTCCTTAGATTTTGAAAAGTGGCGTTGCTAGCTTGGGCACTTGAGAGCTGGCCTCTGTCGTTAGCTAAAGGCACGTCTGCAGAATTCTCGCAGCATTTGTGGCATGAAGGCTGGCCAAAGGCGGCACCTGGTGTAGATAAGTGCCCATTTACCTGAATCCAGATGACCGCACATATATCTAATCCCAGAACTCGTTTGTAAGCAGTGGGGAAAGCTAACTGATCCTCGTAATGACAGATAATAAACTCTAAAATGCTTTGGAGACATCAAGGAGTTGTCGATGATGTTGTTGGATTCGTGCTACACCTAAATCAGTGAATCCTAGCTCTTTAGACTGATCGTGTGGAATGTGTCTGTCAACAGCTATGTTATCCTTGGTGATGCAACCTCTGTTCTACTCCTAGCATAAGCTGGATAATTCTTACTGTTTTCCATCTCTGTCCAATGGGCTTTTCAATCCCATGGCTTGGGTACTCACAGCCCAAAGGGCACAGTGGTGTCTTGACCCATCTCTGGGGCACTTGGTTCATGGCAGATGCTATGCCTCTTGTTTGACCAGACTGCATAGCTGCTCATCCTGAATGAGCAAGGGGTTACAGATTTACTATGACTTGTCCCCCAGAGTCTGCCCTCTTATCAGCTTATTTTCTACTCCCTAAACCAGGGGTGAGGAGCCTTTTTTCTGCCAAGGGCCATTTGGATATTTATAACATCATTCATGGGCCATACAAAATTATTAAGTTAAAAATTATCCTTCTATATATATATTTTTAAATATATTTTTATTGATTTCAGACAGGAAGGGAGAGGGAGAGATAGAAACATCAAAATGAGAGAGAATTATTGATTGGCCGCCTCCTGCACACCCCCTACTGGAGATAGAGCCTGCAACTCAAACCCAGGTATGTGCCCTGACTGGGAATTGAACCTGGGACTTCCTGGTCCATAGGACAATGCTCTGTCCACTGAGCCACCAGAGCTGGGCCTGCTATGATGGTAAACATTTAATTAACTTGCCCCTAATGCCTTGGCAGGGCCAGGCCAAATGATCTTGTGGGCCTTTATGGCCCGTGGGCCGGCCGGTCCCCACCCCTGCCCTGAACCACTGAGTGTAAGCACAGGCCAGCCAAGCCTGTGTTCCTGTTTGTCCCCCCTTTCTTCCCCAGAGAGCAGTGACAAAGAGCAAAAGCTTCCCATTTCCTCCGCAGGTGATGCATTCTGAAGCGCCCGTGAATGGGGAGCGCTGTCAATAGGGTATTGTATCTGGGAGGCTCCCCAGCAGAACAGGGGGAAATCAGATGGCCTGGGAATTGCGAGGCCCATTCTGAAGTGCACACACCGAAACTAATTTGATGGAGAACCATAGGTAACGGCCTCCTCCTAGCCGGGCTCATTTCCTCAGCTATAAAATGAAGATCAGCCGAAACTGGTTTGGTTCAGCGGATAGTGCGTCAGCTGCAGACTGAAAGGTCCCAGGTTCGATTCTGATCAAGGGCATGTACCTTGGTTGCGGGCACATGCCTGGTGGGGGTGTGCAGAAGGCAGCTGGTCGATGTCTCTTTCTCATTGATGTTTCTAGCTCTCTCTCTCCTCTCCCTTAAAAAAAAAAAAAATCAATAAAATATATTTTAAAAATAAATAAATAAATGAAATGAAGATCACCCCAAAGGTGAGAGTAAAGGTGGGCCGGGTAGGCCAGGAGGGCACAGGGGCTGAGAATCACTTGTGCCAGTGCCTGGAGAGGGGGCAGGAGGTGAGGAGGCCAAGGGAGGGCTTAAGCCAAAAGCAGGGATTTTGGCTTGTTCTGGAGGGGGTGGGGGGCAGGCAAGGACTTCTGCACAGGCGAGTGGGGCTGTTAGGGGATAGATGTGCTCAGGTGTTTAAAAGATCAGCAAAAAACGCAACTGGCATGCCTCAGTGATTGAGCAAAAGCCTATGAACCAAGAGGTCATGGTTAGATTCCAGGTGAGGGCACATACCAGGGTTGCAGGCTCAGTCCTCAGTGGGGGGCGTGCAGGAGGTGGCCAGTCAATGGTTCTATGATCATTGATGTTTCTCTCTCTCTCTCTCCCTCTCCCTTCCTCTCTGAGATCAATAAATACATATTTTAAAATATAAGTAAATACATAAAATAAAAGATCAACCATGAAGAGGAAAGCCCAGGCTGGAGCAGGGGGACGGAAAAGGCCGTGGTTGTGTCCAGGGGCTTTCCTTGCCTCCAAAGGTCTCCCTGCTCAGGGACCTCTGGAGGTGGACTCAAGGTCAGCAAAGGGCAGCCATGTGGGAAGCTGAGGAGGACAGAAGACTGAAGGTCCTTGCTTTGGGGATTAAAGGCCTAAGTTTGATGCAAAACACATCCGAGGGGCTTGTCGCATAGATGAAGGTGTAGGAGCTCCGGATGGCATGGCAGGTGGACATCCAAGGGGCATTCCTCAGGGGCAGGGCCCTGTTCTCATCTTTTCTCTAGCCCAGTCCTTATCAGAAGCTTAGCAAGTACTTGCAGGATAAGGGGAGTTGGACTTGACACGATGCGAGAAACTTCCTAACAAGAAGAGCCTTCTGGAAACGGGACAGATGTGCTTCGCGGCCGGGAGGTCCTGTCTCTCACCGAGTGTCTGAGCAGGAACGGGAGGACTGTCTGGGGCGGGGTGGAGGGGGGTACACATCACGAAGGGGCTGAAGACAGGCCTGGAGGGTGGCTCCCTCCAGCTCTGGAGGTGGGTGTGGGGACCCACCCGCTACCCCGTGTGTGCTCAGGACCCAGTGTCCGGGAGAAGGGGGACAATGCCCTGAGAGGGCACGTGAGCCCAAAAAAGGAAGATGGACCCCACCAGTGCTGAACCTGCTTGTGGGAACGCGCTCTGAAGCAGTGAGGTGGGGTGGTCGTGGGAAAGGCAGGGTCCTGCCTTCTCGGGTGGGAGGAGTGGGGGGCTGGTGAGGCTTCTGGAGAGGTCTGTATCCCCGTGGATGTCCTCCTACTGAAGTGGGGGAGGGGCCATGGGAGATGGAAAGACCCAGATCCTTGGTGACTGAGTCGCACCAGGGCAGAACTCCACCCCCACCTCCACCCCCACGCCGCTGAAAAAGAGGAGGGCTCTTTCCCTGTTGACAACTCTTCCTCTAATTGCAGAATACTGTGTCAGCAGGCCCCAATTACAGTAATTACGTGATGATCTGTGAGATAATCCTGCTGCACAAAGCTCCCCAGACTCCTGGGCCTCTTTCAGGACTCAAACTCTTCAGTGACATCTAAGCATCTAGAGCAAGATTTATAGACTTCCCTTCCATCCAACTCCGCACAAAAACAAAGGAGAGACGAAAGGAAGGTCATTGCTCCTTCCATGCCCCTTGTTGAGGCTTGAATTCCATGTCTAATGCCTTACAGGAAGGGGTAGTTCACCGTTATTTTTAATTTTCTGTTCAACCCTATGAGGTCAGCAGGATAGCTTTATCAGGCCCATTCTACAGATGGAGAAAATGACGTCAGCACTTGTGACTGGCAGAGGCGTCCCTTGAACCCGGGTCTGTCTGACTTCCAGAGTCTGGGTTCTTCTTCCTACCCCACTCTTCCAGAGGACAAGGACCAAGGCTTGCACGAAGCCAAGTCTAGGGTTGGGCCCAGCCAGCAAAGGGCATCCCTGTGACTGTGGCTCCATCTGACCTCCCCTCCTGTCGCTTTCCAGGTGCCACCACAAAGGTGAAGGATGCCACTCTGGGTGTTCTTCCTCATGGTCCTAGCCCTCAGCGGTGGCTGCCACTGCTCCTCACACTCCCTGACCCTCAGGTAAGCAGTCCTGCCAACAAGGCCTGGATTTCCGCCACCCCAAAACCATCCCTACTGGAGGAGGGGTGCTTAGAGGATGCAGAATCCAGCCATTAGGTGGCCTCCACCATCTCCTCTGGCAGCCCCCACTGCCGGTTCTGGAGGGGGATAGACTCTGAGCTTTAAAGAGGTTGTCTAGCCCCGGTTCCAGCTCTCTCTGGGAAAAGGGCCATACAGAGACCTAATGAATGCAGCCACCTCTGTCCCCTCACCCGGGCCCGCCAGACCCCCCTTTGACCTCTGACTCCTCCCGCATAGGAAGCCACGGTATGCAGATGCCATCTTCACCAACAGCTATCGGAAGGTGCTGGGCCAGCTGTCTGCCCGCAAGGTGCTCCAGGACATCATGAGCAGGCAGCAGGCGTAAGCAGACGTTCTAGGAATTTCTTTCCACACTGTCACTGCACCAGAGTTTGGAGGGACCAAGTCTGGTTTCTTCCTCTGCAAAGCATCTGTCGTTTCTGGACTAGCCACAGCAGAAGGACCCCAGGGTCAAAGCTCAGCTGACCTCTAGCTATTGAACACTTGTTGTATGCTTCTCTCTATGCTGGGCTCAAACAGCCACAATTCCGATGGTCGTTCCCATAGGCCGTTACTCTGTGCCAGAGACAAAGGCTGTGTTGGGATACTGACATGCCCTGGGCACAGTGCTGGACACAGTAAGCCCTTGGAACTGTGAGCCATTACTCCTCATTTCTTATTTGCTCTAATAGCCCTAGAAAGCAGGACTCTTACCCTCATCACCTGGAGCCATTAATAGCTTCTGAAGGACACACACCAAACAGTGGCAGATCTAGGATTCAAGCAGCCTAAGTCCACAGCCCGTGCATTTTTCAGTTTCATTTTGAAAAAATTTCAAACTTACAGAGAAGTTGCATCAATAGTACAAAGGACTTCCACATACACTTCCCTATATTCAATAATTTCTAACGTTTTTGTCATATTTGCTTACTCTATAGCTATAACTAGATATAGATCTATATATACAGCTGCAAACATTATTATTATTATTATTATTATTATTATTATTAAGAACTATTGATTGCAGAAATACGTACATAAGGTAAAAAATACTAGTGTCTCATCAAATGACCTTTTAACCCTACAAACCGTATTAATACTACGTATCGTGCCTGCCCAATTTAATGAAAGACAAAGTTCTCTACCTAAATACATTATACTAACCACTATCATGTATAAATACCGGTAATTATCACTAAGGGTCCCTATTCACATGTCAGCAGTTATCCCAAAGTGTCCTTTATAACAAGTATTTCTTTTCCTGATTCAGGACCCAACCCAGGATCATGGGTTGTATTTAGTTGTCATGGCTCTTCAGTTTCTTTCATCAGGAATAGTTCCTGTCTTTTAGGCCATGGATGAATTTGTTCAGTAAAGCCCATTTGTTTATAGAATGTCTCTCATCTTGGACTTGCCTGATGCTTCCTCATGATTAGAGTCAGTGTGTGCAATGGAAGTGGAGTGTCCTTCTCAGGGCATTGTCTCAGGAGACACATGAGGCCATTTGTCCCAGTATTGGTGATAGCTTTGATCACTTGGTTAACATGGTGTCTGCTGGGAGATAAGTTAATATTTTCCCTTGTGTAATGAATAAGTAATCTGTGGGGAGCTACTTTGCAAATGTCTGTTTTGGAGCCTATACCCTTCACTACATGTATAGGCCTTCCTAAATGTTGGGCATCTAATTCAGTTGGATTAGATACCAGATTTCAGAACAGGGACACACCCTTCTCTGCTCACCTTGCCCTGGCATCCTACCCACAGAGCAACCTCAGCTGTGTCTCCTTTTCTAATGGAATAGAGAGAGAAACCAGGAGCAAGGAGCAAAGGTGTGGCTTGGGCGTCAGGTGGACAGCATGTGGGAAGACCAAAAGCAGACGGCATTGGAGAGCCTCCTGGCGGCCATGTCGCAGAAGCTCAGGTGGGAATACATGCATGTGTAAGTGTATGTATAAGTATGTGTATGTGTGTGTGTACGTGTGCATGCACATGCGTGTATATGTATACCTAGGGAGTTCCAAGCATTCCTTCTCCAAGGGTCAGCAGGAAAGGAAAGAATCTCCTCTCCTCCAAAAGCATGGGGCTCGGCCACGCCCTCCTGACACACATCAGGACCTGGATGAAGGGATAAAATGTATGACAGTGATTGGATCTTATCCACTGCTGTGTCTCCTGTGTAGCAAGAGGCTGGGCTCAGCGTCTGTGTCCAAAAACATAACTCACCCAGTCGTTCTGGAACAGGACCCAAGAGCCTGAACACTAACAAGGGCTGGGGCGGTTCTGTGGGGTGTGCTCTGGGTTCCTTGCCAAGTTCACAAAACTGTAAAATCCCAGGAAGACCTGCCCCTCCCAACTCCCTCAGGTAGACCAGCACTCATGTGCGGGGAGAGATGGGAATGACATCCCATCTCACTGGCCCTCACATTCCCACCGGGAGTCGGGGAAGATGAGGAATGAGCTCTCCCATTTTACAGAGGAGGGAAACTGAGGCAAAGGGGCAGCGGCTGGCTCCAAGTCAGGGACTGGTAGGCCCAACCGAGACCTGCTGCTTCTCTTCAGTTCTTCACAAGAAGCCCACTTAGCGGGCTGTTTCCCAAGAATGACACGATGGTTGGGAGAAACTCTGCTATATTTTTTAGGCTGATTTTCAACTGTCAGCACAAATGTGTCCCAGCATGACTTTGCCAGGCACTTCTGGGCCTATTAAGCAAACCCAGTTCCCAGCAGAACTCTCCACGTGCTCCCTTGCCTTCCTTCCAGCCTAATTAGACACCCAGAGCTCGGAGATCTCACCAACCTCAGTCCCGTGGAGATACAAGCCGCGGCAGGCTGACGGGCCGCGGCAGGAGGGGTGAGCACCGGGCTGGGAGGCAGGATGCACACCTGAGCCCAGGTCTGGTTCGGCAGCCCATTCACTGTTCACAGCAAGTTGGCTGCCTAGTTTTCTTCTCTGTGAAAGGAGGGGGTCAGCACCGACTACCTCTAAGGTCCCTCATGCCTCTGAGAATAATGCCTACCTTGTGCCTCTCATGCTGGGATTAGGTCATCACTCACCTGCTTTATGGCTCACACAAGGCCCAGTAGGGTGGAGCGGCCCCGAGGAGGGCCAAGTCCTAAGAATGCAGGCTTTGTTCCTGCAGGTTAAAAGCCAGAGGCTTCACGGAGCTCAGATTCACAGAGCAGCAGGGAGGGGCCTGAGGCTGCTGTGGCCATTGTTCTCCCTCCAGCTCAACTGCTGCAAATACCAGGGCATCACTGAGGGGCCTGGGAAAGCATAAAATACCAGTAAGTTCTTCCACCTTGACCGTGCAGAGTAGGATGATTTGGCAGATGGCACACTTTTGCACCCACCAGGCTCCATGTCCAACCTAACAGCCCTGTAAAGTAACTGAGGGTCAGATCTGTCTGTTCTCCTGGCCCGTAAAAACTTCCAATGCCTTTTATGTGCCAGCCTCTGAGTTGAGGGAATAGCGGGGACAGCAGTGGTCCCTGCTCTCAAGGAATTCATAATGCAGTGAGATGGACAAAACTTAAACAAGTACTTGTCAGTGGATTATTTAATTTGCGATACATGGTAATAGACATAAGGGATGTGGTGAATGTGTGTTCTGGAAGGTGACTTCCAGGGAAGTGATCAGCCTGGGGTCTCAGCGGAAGAAGATCAGCAAAACTGGGGCTAACAATGAGGTTCTTTTTAACATTTATTTTGTGGCATTTGTTTTTGTCTGCCTGACTTACTTTACTTAGTATAATACCTTCTAGGACCATCCATGTTGTTGCAAATGGTACTGTTTCATTCTTTTTTATGGTTGAGTAATATTCCATTGTATATTCCATTGTGTAGATGTACCACCTCTTCTTTATCCAGTGGCCTACTAATGGGCACTCGGGCTGCTTCCATAGCTTGGCTTCTGTAAATAATGCTGCAATGAACATAGAGGCATATGTATCTTTTTTAAATTCAGGTTTTGGATTTCTTCAGATAAAGACCCAGAAGGGGGATTGCTGAGTCATGGGATAGCTCTCTTTTTAATTTTTTGAGGACCCTCCACACTATTTTACACAGTGACTGCACCAATTTGCTATCCTACCAACAGTGCACAAGGGTTTTCTTCTTAAGAATGAGATCCTTTTGGGAACCCAACAGTCAGTCTTAAAACTGGAACATCCATCACCCTGGTTTCAACCGTTCATGCCCAACCTGCCCTTTCTTCAGTCCCCATGATTGAGCTTTTTCTTTCTTTCTGCAGCAGGAATTCCCAAGAATGAAGATTCTGCCAGTGTTTTATGCTGCCTGGAGCCAAAACACAACTGCATCCAGTTCATCCTATTTAATTTTTGACCCACTTTTTCATTTATGAATACAATAAAATTCCCCTACCCTGGTCTGCAGTTCAATTTTATTTAATCTCCCACCTAATTTGTATGTGTTTTACATAGTTATGTTTCCCAAAGTGGTATTACATGGTATAATAAAAAAAAATAACTAACATTTACCAGACTGGGCAGTACCAACTAGGCAGCTGCATGCCTAGAATCTCCTATACTCCTCACACAGCCCAAAGGGAGGTATTGGCACCCTTCTCATTTCACAGACAAGGAACCGAGGTACAGACAGATGAACGGGATTGCCATGATCACAGCCAACAAAGAGAGAGCTGGGATTTAAACCAAGGCAGTCCAGCCTAGAACCAGCTTCTTAACCATATTTTTCTACTCTGGGCCAAACTCATCCTTCATTCATTGGATGACTTGTTTATCTATAAGCAGTATCATTTATTCATTCAACATATATTTATAGAGTACCTACTATGTGCCAGGCATTGTTTTAGGCACTGGAAATATAGTCACAAACAAAGTCCCTGATCTCATTGAGTTTACATTCAAATTAGGGGAAGAATGACAAAAACAAGTAAATGTAGAATACATCAGATAGTGGCAATTACAAAGGATAAATATTAAGGGGGTGGGAATGCTGGAGGGCATTGTTTTACCTATAATGTACGCTGGTAGTGGTGGGGGAAGGCCGCAATGATAAGGTAATGCTTGAGTAAAGGCATGAAAGGAAGCAGGGGGTTGGCCTTGTGAATATCTGGGTCAAGAACATTCCATTCAGAGTGAAAATCCAACACAAAGGCTCTGAGGCGAGAGCTGGGAAGGAGGAAGAATAAGGAGGTTAGAGTGGCCAGAACGGAAAGAAGGTGTTAGAGGAAGAGAAGGAGGCCCAGACAGAGCAGGAAGCCAGCTCATGAGGACCCTGTGGGGCCACGGTAAGGACTTTGGATCTCACCCTTGGTGAGACTGGAGTCATCACAGAGTTTAAACAGAAGAATGACCTGATCGGACCTGCAATTAGAGTCACTCTGAGATAGGGTCAGATTCTGAGTACATTTTTAAAAATATATGTTTTTATTGATTTTAGAGAGGGAAAAAGGGACAGGAAGAGAGGAACATTGATCCATTGCCTCCTGCCCAGCCCATACTGGGGATCAAGCTGGAAACCTGGGCATGTGCCCTGACCAGGAATTGAACCGACCACCTCTGGATGCATGGGATTATGCTCAGCCAACTGAGCCACACAGGCCAGGGCTCCGGATACATTTTTAGGGTAGAACTCATTTCCTGACGGACAGAGTATGGGGACTGGAGATGAGATTCAAATTTGAATGACTCCAAAATTTTTGGCTTTAAAATCAGGAACGTGAGTTAGATCACCAAGAAAAAAGTAAAGAAAGAATAGAGAAGAGATCCAAGAATTGAACCTGGAGCCTCCCCACATTTAAAGCTTGGGGAAAAAGATGAAGTAGAACTAGCAAAGAAGATTGAGAAGGAGCAGGCAGTGAGCCTCTGGGAAAACTACAAGAGAGAAATTTCAGAAGTCAACTGAAAAAAAAGTGTTTCAAGAGAGTGATCTGCTGTACAGAGTGCTGCTGATGGGTCAGGTCAGCTGAGAACTGACCATGGAAGTGACCATGGAGGACATTAATGTCCTTGGCAAGAACAGACTGGGTGGAACGGTGGAGGCAAAAGTCTGACAGGAGGGGGTTCAAGAGCAAATGGTAGGAGAGGAATCAGAGCTGGCGAGTATAGACCTAGCTGTCCAATATGGCAGCTACTAGTCTCAGGTGGCTATGAACACTTGAAATGTGGCTAATATGAACTGAGACATGCATTAAGTGTAAAATAGACGCTGGATTCCAAAGACAACATAAGAAAATAGCTCACTTTTTTTTGTATTGATTACATGTTCAAATAATATTTTGGATTTATTAGGTTAAATAACATATTTTAAATTTTTCATCTGTTCCTTTTTTAGTGTTTTTTTTTTTATTGTTACTAGAAAATTTTAAAAATCACCTATATGCCTTGCATTACATTTCTATTGGACAGCACCCGTGGAGATAATTCTTTTATTTTTGCTATAAAAGGAAGATGAGAACTGAAGTCACTGACCAGGGGTACTTATGTCAGTGATTGTTGCCAGTGGAAATGGTATTCTTTCACAGTTTCGAGAAAAGCATGGGAGGAAGAGGTCTGGTGGTAAGAATTATTTGGGTGGAAATAGAAGGCTACCCCGGGTATGATGAGATACCGGGTTCCCAGTATCTCATTTCCGTCCACCCCATCATGGAAAAAGTCCTACCTGGTCTGTGTGAGGCCCAGACATAGGGGCCAGTGTCCAGACATTTTGCACCATTGGCTTGGCTCATGGTAAAGCTGAGTCCATTCCAGTGTCTGTCTGTCCCCATCCAGCCCGCATAGCCTGCTTCCAGCTGCACTTCGGCTGGCGCTGCTGCACGCAGGCTCACACTGTCTGTCATGGGCCCCAGGTGCCTGCTAGGCCCACGTGGCTGCCATGGAGAGAAATGCACAAGCCACCTGGGCAAGCACATGTTACCAGGTGAGAGGGACTTTGTTAAGCTTGGGTTATATTATCTCCTACTTGGGGAGGACCACGTGGGCTTTCAAACTAACCAATGAACTTCCCAATCATTTGGGGTTCTCTCCCTAATTAGTACATTTCCTCAATCTTCCCGGTGGGGGTCTGTGTCCCTTATCCAATCGACCCTTTCCCCAGACTAGACAGGCAGGCCTCTGTGGCTGCCATCTTGGCTTTCACTGTGCATGCCTCATAGAAGCATCTTCAATGTGCCATTTTGTTTTCTACTGGGCATGTGCCCAACAGAGGAATTTTTCCCTTTATTAGAGTTCTACCTTTCCCCCAGTAATCTGCAGGGAGCTGCCCTGGGACGGTGTGAAGCTATAGCTCTCCAGTGAAACCGGCCCAATATTGGATTCAGCTTTCCAGTTTATTAGATTTAATAACATTTGATTCCCATTGTTCCCTTCTTTTATTAATATCTAGCCACCTACACTAATACAGTTACTCAACTTTTTCCGTTTATGAATCATTCCACTTGGGCCAGGTATTTCCACACAAAACCTGCCTCTTATTAGAATCTGTGAACTTTCCAGGGGGATCAATATGCTATACAGGTGTCTCAGAAGTAAAAATCCATTGAGCTGCACACTTAAGGTTTGTACATTTTACTGTAAGTATATGAAAACTTAAAAAAAATATATGTGAAAAGTCTGGGTGACAGGATGTAAGTTTGACTAAAAGTAGAAGAATCGCAGATTTTAGTTGGTGGGGACTCAGAGATGAGCCATGCCACCTCCGTCATTTTCCAGCTGGGGACACAGTCCCGGGAGCTTCCCTGCCAGCACGAGTACAGAAAGCCACCTTGGTTCTCCACAGCAGCGCTTGCCAACCTCTCAGACCTCACGGACACCAGTGGCCCTTGGACCACCTGTTGGCAACTGCTGCTTTACAGGGTTTAGACCACCTGCTCTCCCTGGAAGCCCAGTCTACCTTCCAAGAAAGGGTGTGAGTCGTGGAAAACCCTGGCCACAGGCCACTGGCAGAAGAGACAATACGAACAATGGAGAAACAAAAGCCCCCTCAAAAAATAAAAAAAATAAAAAAGGCTGGCCATTGAGGGCAGGCGGCCCACTTCCATCAAGAGCGGCAGACAGCCGGGAACCTGCGGAGGAACAAAGGAGGGGACTGCTGAGTAGGGGCCTCACTCAGGCCAAGCTCACGCCCACTCCTCCCCCAGACCCACCTGTTCATCTCTTTCCTCCTCCTGTCTCCACAGAAGCCGACTCTGAGGGCTCTCTCAACTTCCAATTAGTTTTCAAATGAAATCATGACCACTGGGGACCCGCCGCTACTTGTGGTTTTCAAGGTGAAAGCAATTATAAAGGCAGAAACCATGATGGCAACAATTCCGGTGCTTTACCACCATTAACGACGACACTAATGGAGTCTTAAAAGACTTAACCCCTCTCCACAGAGGTGCTGGGAGCTTCCTGTCCCGTGGGGATCCTACTTAAGATCAAGTGCTATTTTTCCCCCTAAAGAAATGCCCTAATCATCGGGGGACTGGTTGCTTTTGATGATAATCCCTTATGGCACATGTGTCAAACACAAGGCCCGCGGGCCAAATCCGTCCCGCCAGGCCTTGCAATGTGGCCTGCACCGCGCTGTCATCACTGCACTCCGCTGCGTTTCCATCACAATGACAGTTTATGACTGTTCAGTAAACCATTCGGCCCTCGATTTAGGCTGGATTTTAGATTTTGGCCCCTTCTCTGATTGAGTTTGACACCCCTACTATGGTTAAAGTTCACCCAGAGGTTTCCCATGCATCACTTCATTTGCTCCACCACAGCCCTCCGGAGAAAGGCAGAGCAGGGCGCAGGCCTCACATGGAGGCCAGAGGAGCACAGCCAGGAACTGATTCCTGATGCCAGGGTAGTGCTCTTTGTTGTTTCAAGACTCCCAGCCGCTCAGGAAATGTGAGCTGGGCAACCAAGTGAAATAAAGAACAAACAAACATACGTGGACCGGGTATAAACTGTTTCCTGGGCCGCGGCTAAAAGCACACAGGAAATAGTATCGACACTAATCAGAGCAAACAGTCAATGCTAAGTGCCAGGCCCTGTGGTATGTGCTTCGGGTGTGAGCTCAATTAATCCTTAGAAAGCCCTCAGAGGTAGTATTCCCATTTTATGGATGGGAAACTGAGACCCAGAAAGGTTTAAAAAAAAAAAAAAGATGTCTAAGGACACAGAGTGGGTCAGTGGGAATCTAAACTGCTGTGCTTAGTACTCCTTAGAGAAGGCCCAGCACGGCTGTGGTGTCAAAGAAAAACCAGAGATGCACAGTCGTAAAAATGTGGCTAAAACAGATTTTGCTCAGGACTATTGCAAGAGGGAAAAAGAGACCTCAGGATAGAACTTGACTCAATTCCAAATACTGCCTAGGTAAGTGAGAACTTTTGGCCAAGGAGCAGGGAGGAGATCAGGGGGTGGAAACTTTA